TTTCTGTTCAGCGCCAGACTTGCTTGTAACCTATATCACCAATTATGTTACGATAAATGACGTATTAACTACAACAGAAGTCTGACCTTTGTGGGAATGTTTGGAGCAGACTAACCTGTGAGCTGGATGTTCTGGGACGTTATATTTGGTCTTCGATTGGCTGCAGTCCAGGCCATCCGTCGCCTCTTTGTTACTATGGAAACATGGTTTCTCTTCAACGACGTAATCCGATTACAACGATCTCTTTGCCCGTCGGGCAAATAGCCGGGTGTTATTAACCCGGCTATTGCAGTTAATAACACAACAGCTTCTTGCTATTTTGTGTTTCTTTTTATCGCTGTGTAACTGATTTCAATTGAAAGCCTGCGTGCGCTAGTACCTCTTGCCACAAGTTCCCAGAATCCTTTGCGGTTTTACCCCTGAATGACCTCACATTTTCAATCTCTACTGCGAGCTCCGTGATCCACCGTGGCAGTGATGACGACTCTTCGATTCAGTGCCTCTGGTACCAATGAGCTCATAAAGAGTCAAATGAATGTCGGGCACACCTGAGGCCAGCGCATTGCTGTGGACCCCGACAGTTTATCATGTGACCTGTTGTAAGATGACTTGCCCCTCCCAGCTGCGCCTCACCTGTCTGTCTCTGTCAGGCTGCAGTGTGGCAGGCTCTGAACCACTACGCCTACCTGGACGCTGTTTTCCTCGCAGAGAGGCTCTACGCTGAAGGTAACACCTGTCTGTGTGTCCACACACACTCCTGTCAGTACCTGTTTTTCACCCGTGTGTCTCACCTGTGTGTGTCAGTGAGGTCAGAGGAGGCGCTTTATCTGTTGGCCACATGTTACTATCGCTCGGGGAAGCCCTACAAAGCCTACCGGCTGCTGAAGGCTCACAGTTGCTCCACGCCACAGGTTCGATTCCTGCTGGCAAAGTGCTGCGTGGAGCTCAGCAAGTAAGAACACATGGCCACACACACACACACACACGTAAATGTAAACGTAGTCAGAAATGATAAACTTCAGGAAATAGAATCCATTCGGACCCCGCCTCTCTGACCCCGCCTCTTTGTCTCTCAGGCTGGCGGAAGGAGAGCAGGTTCTGATTGGTGGTGTGCTGAACAAACAGAAGAGTCAGGATGACATCATCACAGAGTTTGGAGACTCCGCCTCTTTCACGCTATCTTTACTGGGGCACATTTACTGGTAAGAACCAAACTCACCTGCGCTCCACAGGTGAGGATGCTCTGCTGACTCACCTGTCTCTCTCTCTCTCTGTGAGCAGTAAGACAGATCGTGTTGCCAAAGGTGCCGAGTGTTTTCAGAGGAGTCTAACTCTCAACCCGTTCCTCTGGTCGCCTTTCCAGAACCTCTGTCACCTAGGTAACGCACACATCCTCCTGTGGAGTCACGAGCACTGTCAGGCTCCACGTGACTTCAATCACACTTGATGCTTTGTGTTTTAGGAGAGAAACCAGACCCAGATCAGGTGTTCAGGTTGTCCTCGCTACAGAACTGCTCCATTGCCCCGCCTCCACCATCTGTAAGCCCTGCCCAGAACTCCTCCCATAGATTAGACACCGCCCTCATGGAGACGCCACAGGACACGCTGGTGAGCGACACAAATGCACCTGCAGTGCGGCTGTTTGAGCTTTGACCCATGAGCAGCTGACAGCGTTTTTGTTTTTTAGGAGTTGAATCGTCTGAATCTGGAATCATCAAACGGAAAGCTGGCGTCTGATTTGTCTGTCTCCTACATCGACTCCTCCCTCATCTCTCCAGACACCGGCTCCTTATTGGGGAACACGGTTTCTATGGCGTCAGCTGGCTCACTTTTAGCTAAACAGAACAAGCCCAAGAGTGGGCGGAGTTTACTTGGAGGTCCTGCAGCCCTCAGCCCACTAACGCCAAGGTGAGTACAACACCTGCACAGGTGAGTTGGAGTCTTACCTTTGCAGCTGGAAGTGTGTTTACAAACTGTGTGTGTGTGTGTGTAGCTTTGGCATCCTGCCCTTGGAGCCCAGCCCAGGAGACCCCACATATCTACAGAACTATTCATCCACTATGGAAACACAAACTACAGCCCCCAGCAAGAAGGTAACAGCACACACACACACACAAACAGACACACACACAAACAGACACACACACAAACAGACAGGAGTGTCAATCAGGAAGATGTTTGCTCATGTAACAGACAGGAGTCGCCCCCTGCTGGTCACCAGTCAGCTGTGTAGAAGCTTTGAATAATAACAGA